CCAAGAGGAATTCCTTCAAGCATTGAAAGAGCCTCAGCCAAAGTTTGTTCTCTAGAATTATAGTTTCTTAAAATAAGAAACGTTTTGGAAATACTGAATTTAGGAACAGATTGTTGTACTGTGAGTCTTTTCTGAGATTTCAATATGTTCCTGTGTTTTGTGAGCCTGCAAGAGTGGGAGGAATTATGCCACATTTCCCAAGTTTGTTTGGCTGTGGAATTTTTGGGGGGGAACATCTCTTAGCATTACTGTTTTAATACTAAATGGAGTGAAATGCATTTTGAGAAAAAGGAAAACAGTCAAGATACTGAGGACTTGTTAATGAGGTGTTAGCCTGGATTCTGAGAAGAGAATGTTCAGACGGTACTTAAGTGCCTTCAGAGAACCAGCTTTTTATACTATAGTGGGGGCCATGAGACAACACCAAGATGTCCCTTCAAGATCAAGGAACTCCCCAGTTTTGAGTAGAGTCACCAGCTGACAGCTTGCCAGCCTTCTCCAGAAATTGCACTCAGTTGAATGTAGCTGCCTTGCTCAAATGTATGTACCCCACCCAACTCAGAAGCAGCCTGTATCTAGTCACTATGGGGGTACAAAGGCCTCGTATCTTGCTTTTATTCAGTTCATCTCTGAAAGGCCATTCTAGTTCACAGCCAATTTTCAGTCAAGGAACCCAATGGATAAAGGAGAGACCAAGTTTCCATAAGGAAAAACTTGCAACACTCTGGCAAGTATATGAAGGAAATCAGTCTCCCAGCCCTTCCTCAAAGAGACCTATAGCCACTTAGTCATATACTGAAAGGACAATGTCCAGATGTTTCAAAGATTTTGGACACTGAGTCTACGTTGACATTGATACCCATAAGATCAACTGAAGCCTCTGTGCAACTATAATACCATGGCTCCTTCATGAGATAGGGGTTATATGGGGGTCAAGTTTAAATGGAGTCATGGTCCAGGTCCTGGTTCACTGTGTGTTCACTGGCTCCATGAACCCACCTAGCAGTCATTTCCCCATTCCTTGAATATAAAATTGAAATTGGTATCCTTGGTAATTGCCTGAACCTTCACATTTGTTCTTTTCTCTGTGAGGTAACAGCTATTGTGGTGGGGAAAGCCAAACGGCATCTTTGAAACTTCCTTTCTCCCCACCTAAGATTGCAAAATCAAAACAATATCACTTGATGAGGGGAATGGCAGAGATTAGTGCTACCCTTAAAGACCTACCAGATACAGGGCTCTCCATTATATCCTCATTCATTTAACTCACTAGTCTGGGCCCTATAAAAAACAAAACAGATCCTGGAGAATGAAAGCTGACTACTACAAACTCAACCAAGTAGCACTGTTTGACATATATTCTTGGAATGGGGTTACCCTCCCTGCCTGCTTGGCTTCAGCAGGCACCACTATCTGAGGGCATGGAGTGAACCGATCTGTTGACATGGAATCCTAAATAATGTTGCAATGGACCAAGGGACCCATGTATAACAAAGGGATTGATACCATGGGACCTACTGGTTCTATTTCATATTGCCACACCCAGAAGATGCTGGTCTGATACAGCAATGGAATACCTCTTTGAAGGCACAATTGGGCACTAGATTAGAGATGATGCTATATGCATATAGGGTTCCATCCTTAGGGCCCAGTATATACCCTAAACCAATGACTATTATACTGTGCTATGTCTCCAATATGCAGACTACATGTATCCAAAAACCAAGGAAGGGCGACAGAAGCAGTCCCACTTATCATCACTCTTCATGACCCACTGTGTAATTTATTCTTCCATTTCCACAACTCTAGGCTCTGCATGGCTACAAGTTCTGATTCCCAGATGTAAAATGCTTCCACCATGGGGCAAGCTAGAGTGCCATTGAACTTCAAGCTATGGATGTCACCTAGTCTCTTCAAGCTCCTTCGCCAAGGCCAGTAGGCAAGGTAAGGAGTTACCAACCTGGACGTAATTCACCCTCAGGATCAGGAGGCAGCAGGACTGCTCTTACACAGCAAATGATCATCACATCATTATCAGGGGACCTTTGTGTTTCACTGGCTAAGGGAGCGATAAGATTTCAAAGATAAACCTTGACTTCCTTCTCTAAAAGGAATTATAGGCTCTTGGAGAAAAAAACTTTGTCTTATACTTCATTTTTTGTTGATATATAATATTTGCACATATTTATGGGTTATGTGTAATATTTTGATACATGCAAATAATGTGTAATGACCAAATCAGAGTAATTGGGATATTTATCACCTCAAATAATGATCATTTCTTTGTATTTGGAATGTTTTAAAGCTTCTCTTCTAGCTATTTTGAATTATACAATTAATTATTTTTAACTATAATCTCCCTACTGTGTGTCCCATTGAACATGGGTACTTCTTCCTCTGATCTAACTGTATTTTTGTATCCATTAACCAACATCTCTTAATTACCTCTTTTTCCTAACCTTCCCAGCCCCTGGTAACCACCACTCCACTCTCCATCTCCCCAAAACCAATTTTTTTAGCTCCCACATATGAGTGAGAACATGGAATATTTGTCTTTCTGTGCTTGGCTTATTTAACTTAACATAATGTATTCCGGTTTCATCCATGTTGCTGCAAATGACAGGATTTCATTCAGTTTTATGGCTTAATAATATTTTATTGTATATATATAGCACTTTTTTATCCATTCAGCCTAATCATCAGGGAAATGCAAATCAAAACCATAGTGAGATACAGTTTAAAAAGCTATTACCAAAAAGACAGGAAATGCTGGCAAGGATGTGGAGAAAGGAGAATGCTCATACACTGTTGTTGGGAATGTAAATTAGTATGGCTGTTCTACTTTATATTTTTTAATTATTATGTTAGTTTACTACTTTTAAACCTGACTTGGCTAAAAATTATGTATTTTTGAGTATCTTAAATGTGCAGAACTCTGATCTTAACTACAAAATTCCCATTACACAGCAATTTTATCTTCAGTAAACACTCCTTTACAAACTCTAGCATATCTTGTGAAAGTTATCAGAATCAAAATGCAGTCACTAATGTTAAAAAAGACTGACACATATAGCCAGAGAAGGCCACGAAGAGAAGATTCTCATGATTGTATACCTCATAATGAAAAAGATGCCACAAAAACTACAACATTGCACAAAGGCCATTGCAATCTTAGACCAAAAATACTTCTGCAAGGACATCTGCCCAGCAACAGTTTATTCAGCCTTGGACTGATGTCACCCTTATTAATCTTTACAATTAAGGATAATTATTTCAAAACAATTATATAATCATCCTCATTTTTTTCCTTTAAAAAACTTTTTATTCCTTTACCACTCTGAATATATAAATTGTTTACTATGGCATATGTATTCTTATTGGAATACTGTACTCCCAAACAAATATATTTTCTTTTAGAGAACCTCTTCCTGTTTGTTATTTAGGTTGACAATATGAAAGAACATTCATATAGTGGCACTGTTCACATATTTAAACTTTGAAGCAGTACAAGCATTAAGAGAAAAATAGATGAATATTCATATAATATTGTCATATTCAGCAACAGAGAATGAAACTACAATGAAATGCAAAAAACATGGATGAATCTAGCATTATAATATTCAGTGAAAAGGTAAGAACCAAAAGATTATACACTGTATTATTTCATCTTTATGATGGTAGAGATATAACTAAAATAAATAGTCTGTAAGAATATTTAGAGATGCAATAAAACATGAAATTCAGGGTGATGCCATCATTCTCCATAGAACTAGAAAAAACAATCCTAAAATTTATATGAAACCAAAAAAGAGCCTACATAGCCAAAACAAGACTAAGAAAAAAGAATAAATCTGGAAGCATCACATTACCCAACTTCAAACTATACTGTAAGACTATAGTCACCACAACAGCATGGTACTGGTATAAAAACAGCCACATAGACCAATAAACACAATACAGAACCCAGAAATAAAGCCAAATACTTAGAGCAACCGATCTTCAACAAAGCAAATGAAAACATAAAGTGGGGAAAGGACACCCTGTTCAACAAATGGTGCTGGAATAATTGGTAAGCCACATGGAATGAATGAAACTGGATCCTCATCTCTCACCTTATACAAAAATTAACTCAAGATGGATCAAGGACTTAAATCTAAGACCTGAAACCATAAACATTCTAGAAGATAACATTGGAAAAACCTTTCTAGACAGTGGCATAGGCAAAGACTTCATGACCAAGAACCCAAAAGCAAATGCAACAAAAACAGATAAATAGATGAGACTTGATTAAACCAAAAATCTTGCACACAGCAAAACAAACAATCAGTGGAGTAAACAGACAACCCACAGAGTGGGAGAAAATTTTTCCAATCTATAGATCTGAAAAGAGACTAATATCCAGAATCTATAAGGAACTCAAACAAATCAGCAAGAAAAAAAAAACAAACAATCCTATCAAAAAGTGGGCTAAGGACATGAATAGACAATTCTCAAAAGAAGATATACAAATGGCCAACAAACATGAAAAAATGCTCAACATCACTAATGATCAGGGAAATGCAAATCAAAACTACAATGTCATACCACCTTACTCCGGCAAGAATGACGATAATCAAAAATAAAAAAAAAAAATTATACATGTTGGTGTGGATATAGTGAAAAGGGAACACTTTTATCCTGCTGGTGGGAATGTAAACTAGTACAACCACTATGGAAAACAGTATGGAGATTCTTTAAAGAACTAAAAGTAAGTCTACCATTTGATCCAGCAATCCCACTACTAGGAATCTACCAAGAGGAAAAGAAGTCATTATACGAAAAATATACTTCACACACGTGTTCACAGCAGCACAATTCGCAACTGCAAAAATATGGAACCAGCCCAAATGCCCATCATCATTTGATGAGTGGATAAAGAAATTGTGATATATATGTGTGTGTTTGTGTGTGTGTGTACCATGGAATACCACACAGCCACATAAAGGAATGAAATAATGGCATTCACAGCAACCTGGATGGAATTGTGTGTTCTCACTCATAAGTGGGAGCTAAGCCATGAGGATGCAAAGGCATAAGAATGATACAGTGAACTTTGGGGACTGTGGGGAAAGGTGGGAGGGGAGCGAGGGATAAAAGACTACACATTGGGTACAGTGTACCCTGCTTGGGTGATGGGTGCACCAAAATCTCAGAAATCACAACTAAAGGACATGCCCACCTGTTCCCCAAAAACCTATTGAAATAAAAAATAAATCCATTTTCTCTAGAAAAAAAATGGTAATTTTTCTTATGTCTTCTTTCAAAAAAAAAAAAAAAAAAATCAGGGTGATGTTTCCTAGGGTAGTGGATATATGGGGATGTGTTATTAGCTATAAGTTATTGTCAAGGGCCTAGCTTTTATTTTGGTGATGGGTGGTCCATGGTGTTTATTATATTATTAATTAATTAATTTGGTGGCCATATATCAATCAATGGTACAAGAAAATTATGAACCAAAGACTATATGTAATATAATTCCTGTCCCGAAAGGGGAAAAAAATTAAACCCCAAAAAATAATCATATCTGATTTGTACCTTTAACGTTATTCAAGCTTTCAGTATTACCCAATTACATATCCATGGTAAATACTCTAAATTAACTCATTCGGCCTCATCCTGACTCCCTTTAGCATTCAGAGGCCAGTAAGCTAAAAACTATACTTCCCAGATTCCTTGCAGCTAGTATTGCCCCAGGTATAATCAAATGACATTTTGATTTAGAACTAAGCTGCGTGGGAAGAGGGACAGAGCGTCATACCCTTTTGCTGGTGTGGATAGTAGCACTGGCAAAGAAGCAGTGTGGTTCAAGAGCAGATGGTTGGCATTTCAGCTTCCTGAATCTTCAGTCTCTTGACCATTGCAGAAGGAGCCACTCCTTTGACCCAGTTCCACACATTGGTTTTAGAAGTTGTTCTTAGAAGGTCAGCCTAGAGGGCAATTCTTTGCCTTTCAATGGTACAATAAACCATACAACACCTTAAATAAATTCCTTTCTCCCGAACTTGCTGAATAGATACTGTTCATCACAACTTCAGGCTAGCTGATACAATATCCCTAATAGAACATTTCCTATTTCTCAATTAGTAAGAAATCTTAAGAAACAACTGTCATTGATTTTTATTTTTTGCTCAAAAGCTTTCTCTGATCAAGGAAGACCTGAAGCTTTGCTGTTCTTCTATTTAAATAGGAGTTAAACATGTAGCTTGAAAGTATGGCAAATAAAGGTTTTTATTTCTCAGAATTCATCTTATATGAGATAGAGAATATATGTTTTAGTAATACCAAATTGTTATGCACTCATCATGTTTCTTTACAGTGAAACAATATTGTGCTTATTGAGCATTAAAATTCTACAAATGTAGAAAGGTTTGTGACAGTGTAATAATAAAATAAAGTTCAACTTACTATTAAAGTCACATCTACCCAAACGTTCCTTTTGCATAATCATTAATGAAGAAGGCTTATTACAGTACTGAAGTGACAGAAAATGTATGTGATGTGGATACTTACGCAGATAGGTCACTTATCCTGCAAAAAGGACTCAGCAGGGTATCTGTTCATCTTCAGAAAATAGCTTAGTCTCCAGGCAGGAGTCCTGCCTGATTATGCAATGTGGCTCTTAACTGAGAGATGCCTAAATTGCATATTGTTTCTGCAAATGGCATTTCCCAGGGGAGAGGCTTCCATTTCCCACATGTTGTGTATGTGGCAAGATGACAATCAAGAGCATGAAAAATTATAATGACGTAATTATAATAACGCCACTATTTGTTGCTAAGTTTATTCTTCCTATTATTGTATTCTGCTGTGTGTGTAATAGACTCTTATTAAAACTACATAGTAGAAGACGTTTAATCAGCTGCCCACCACGTCTTGCAGAAGGGTCAGGGCCTGCAAAGGTATTAGGGAGACAGGGAAAGATTTTGCTACAGCTAATTGGATGTATGTTGAACTAGAGGATGACATTGCAGAGGCTTTCATGAGAATTTGAGCTCAAAGCCATAAAGACTGAACATCAGTGGTAGATCTGATGCTGAGTGAAGGCTGGGGACTATTGGGCCATGTGCAAGAGACAAGCAAGTGAAAGAAGTTACAGAGAAAAAGAGCCAGAGTAAAGCAAATAGAAAGAAAGAAGCATACACAGGAAGATAATGTCAGTCTCGATTTCCATTCTGCTCAAAGAATATAACCTGTTCTAAACAATGCCTCAAAAACATGCATAAACACACATCAAATAACCTTCACACGGCACCTGCTTAAGTACTGACAAATCACCATGTTTAATCGGTAACTATTACCAGGGCCCCATTATTGTTTCATGGCACTTTGCCTTCATGGGTCCCTTCCTTCATAAAAAAAATTTATGAATTATATTTTACAATGACATAAAACTGCAATGACATAAAACAAGTATAGTCCAGGCTGGATTCATTATTATGTATTCACTGTTATTCATTTTTCTTCTGCTTTTAAAAGAAATTAAAATTAAGGCATCTTCATGGGCCCAGGAAGTATTGTGAGCCATACGTATATAGGAGCACTGTGTTAGGTACCTAAATGGATAAGTCAATTCTGCGAATTTCTATTACCTCAGAAGATTAAGCATAAGGGACTTTTATCAAGCAAATGGTGAGGATTCGTCTTTTAACTCTCACCATTTCTTTTAAGAGCTTTTCAATTTTCTTAACGTGGGCTTTACATTCTTCATGCACACTGTTTTTAAAATGCTTGACTTCGTTATCAGCTGGTATTTCCTGTTCCAGGTACATCTGTAATTTGGCTGTCGATTTAAAGTGGTCATCTTCCCTATCCTAGAAATTGATGCATTTTACTTTCCTGTCCTTCTTAAGGAAGTACATGACTTTCAACTGATTCACCTTAAGGACATGATTAGCTTTCCAAAATGGGGTGCCTTCTCAGAGCATCAACTGAGAAGTATTCAGAGAAAAGGGGGAGAATGCAAGAGAGATTGCAAAGGACTCAGTGCAAAACTCACAGGGAAAATGGAATATACACCACCAATTTATTCCAGAGCTGATAGATTTGGATGAAGTGACTTGGCCCCTTTTTCTGCTAACCTTCAGAAATCCAACTTCTTTGTGAGTCCCATTCTAAGGCCTGAAATCAAATAAACAAAGGCCACTTAGCACTATTTACAGAATGGATAAACAGTAAATGTCAATGTAACATCTTGGAATCCTATATATTAATAAAATAATTATAATTTTTATTTGTTTCCTAATACTTTTTAACATTAATTTTAAGTTATATTCAGTAGTTTAACTTTCCTTTCTTAGTCCTTGACAGATAATCTGTCAAGCAGAGTTTCTTAATATTTTGAGAATCACAGATTCCTTTGAGAATCTGAAATAACCATGAACTCACTTCCTATTAAAAGGCACACACAAATCTGAAGTTTACCCATGGATTATCCAGTTGAAGACTCTTAAGACAAAGAAGATAAATAATTAAATTAATATTGTAATATAATAAGTAAATACAGTATGTAGAATTCTGCACTATGGAAATATAAATATAGCATTTTTCCTTTTCATGTACTCACAGAAATATTTAAAGAAATTGATCATATAGTAAGTCACAAAGAAAATCTTGATAGATTCCAAAAAGAAAAATAAATAGAAAACTTGCCATCAATATTTTCTGATCACCATAATATAGAGGTAGAAATTATTAACAGAAGTATAAAGAAAAGAATTCAACTTCCTGAAAATGTCAAAACTTTCTCCTAAGCAATTTAGATCAAAGGGAAAATCAAACAGTAATTATAGACTACTTAGAAAATAGTGATAATAACACTACACATCAAACATTTGATATGGCCAAAATCATACTCAAAGCCAAATGTGTATTTTTAAGTTCTTTCATTGTTAAATAATAATGAATGGAAATAGATGAATTAAACACTCAACCTAAGAAATTATAAAAAGAGAAAAATTAACTTAAGGGAAATATAAGAATGGAATTAATAAAGATTTTAAAAGAAATTAATGAATTATAAAACAAAAACTTAGCAGAATTAATATTTAATTTACATAATCATGTATATTCAGTGAACATTAGGGAATTGCTTTGACTGCTATCATCTTTACTATGTTTCTGAATATTTATCTTTTTCTTGTTTCTGTTAGTACTGAATAAAATTATGGTTTACATTTTGAAGCCAATAAAAATATGTAGTATTTTTAAGCACTTCAGTCATTCACAAAGCCCTTTTTTTTTTTTTAAAGAGATGGAATCTTGTTGTGTCACCCTGGCTGGAGCATACTGCTGTGATCATAGTTCATTGCAGCCTGAAAATCCTACAATGAGACAATCCTCCTGCCTCAGCCTCTCAAGTAGCTGGGACTACAGTTACACACCATCAAAATTGACTTGCAAAGCAATTTTGAATACATTTTCTCCTTGAACATTTATAACTCTGGGGGTAGATGTAGGCATTATTATTTTCACTGTAAAGGTGAGAAAATCAAGATTGAGAAAAGCTAACAACTTACTGTATAGAATATTCCTTTATATTTCATTTGTGATTATTGAACCTTAGAAAATGAGGAGAGGTAAAACATGTATGAGTCTATGTTTGGGAATTTCACTATACCTAACATTATTTTATACATTACCCCTGGAAAGGAGAATAAAATGCATGCTATCATATTTAGAATTCAGACTGTATGTTTGAGTTTAAAACCTGTTAAGAACCTGTTAAGAATGATATGCTTTATTAGCTTTGATTTCCTTAAAAGGTAAAAATTGTGAGCCTGTAAAAATTAGATCTTTGCTTTCTTGGTTGGGAATAAGGAGAACTACACCAATGATAACTGTGCCTCTACTTATGATATTGCAGTTGTGTAAGAAGGGGACCAGTGAGAGGTTACCCTGAATCTGGTGGTTAATACCTGGCCAGGCGTGGTGGGAGGAGAGCTCCACAGAAGCTCAGCAGTTGTTTCTTTCACATCCATCTTGTTCTCAGGATACCCTGAGACACAGGCTGGCCTATTTCTGCACCTCTTGTGGGATGGGAAAGGTGGGTTCCAACCTAAAAATTCCTCCAACCAGAGGAATTTTTACATCCATTTCCATCCATCTCAAAAATAGAAGTGTACCCTAGAGACAGTGGTGTAAATATGTGCCACTTGGCAATTAGTCCCCTATCTGTTTGTTCCTTTTTATCACCCAGATAAGAAAACATACCTTCTTTCCTTATTTAGTGTCTTCTCTACAGAGGGCTTACTGTCACAACAGCATAGAGGTGCACTGGACAAAAACTTAAAAATCTATCTGAAAATGATTTGCATGAGGCCAGAAGATATTCTATCCACTCGACAATGATAAGACTCTTAACAAAAAGGTGTTCTGATTCTGATTCTGACATTCCTTTCACTCTTCACCTAGCCCACTACTAGAATAATTTCAGCCCAGACTCAATGCTGATCTTACTGTTCTCTGAGACCCTGGTTCCTGCTTTCCTTCTCAAATTTCTCATCACTGGTGCTACATAAAGGATACTAGAAAAGCTCTCTGTTCTAAAATGTCTCCTCCATTCTCCTCCTAAATTGCCACAGCTAGAGTCATTTAGATGACGCCATTTGAATCTAATTTTTGACTCTCAAAACATCAGAAAATTGTATTATAGAAGACACAGATATAATGAAATGTAGAAATAACTGCATAACAGAAACAACAAAATGAGAATAAAACAGAAAGAATGTAAAAAAACAGTTAATAAATAGACACAAAGAATTAAGGTCTGCTCTTAGTCTGGTGGGATAGTTAATATAGTAATCAAATTACTATAGTTTTAGAAGGTAACCGGCCCATATGTACTAAGATCCATTATGCATTCATAATAACAATTGATTTAAATTCTATACCATCACAGCACAGAAAAGTCAAGGAAGCTGCCTCAAACCACACAGCCAGCTGGGATTGATTCCAGTGGTCTGTTACCAGAGCCTGTGCTCAGCATCTATACTCTGTGCCTCTCATGGTCTTTGACCTAATAACACTACCCTTAGGGATTTATTTCAAGAAACAAATCCAAACCTAAAACAAATAAAACACATAGTTTGCACCAGCATATCTGAAACAAACAAGCAAAAAACTAGTTACAAACTAGATGCAAAAGGAACCAAGAAGTATTAGTAATAACCACCCCTACTCATTGAGCACACAACCTTACATACTGGGCACTGTTCCTTATGTATACCTGTTTATCTCATTCTCACAGCAGATCAACCTTCCACACATTGTCCATACAGATATAAAGGTTTAGGAAGGTTAAGTCACCTGCCAAGTTTCATAGAGCAAGTAAGTGAGAGAGCAAGAATTGAATTCAGGCTAATTCTAAATACTCTGCTTTCACCCTTCACTTGTCTTGTCTGTAAGAGCACTGAAGAGTGTTCACATCATTCCCAATCTTGGCCTAGTGTTAACTGACTAAAAATACCTTAAGCAGAAAATTTAGACAGGTAGGCCTTTGGGCAAAACCGAATTACAATCAGGCCTTGCAGATCACTTCCACTCTCCAGAGGCAGAGTCATGGGCATTCCCCAGGGTCCCAGCAAGGCTTCCCTACACCTTTCTGCAACTATGTACAGGAATTTTTGTGTCAGCAGGTATAGAGAAGGGTAATGTCTGCAGTAAAAATCCCAAGGGGTGGAGACTGGTTGATCGCAAGAATAGAGCTGAATCAAATAATCAAGAGGAGAACAGAAATGAAGAGAAGAAGAGAAAAGAGAAGAGAAGAGGCATCTAACCTTCTTAGCCTTAAGGAGAGCCATGTGTTTCCAGCATCTATGTCATTCTGAATGTATGGGGAGAACCTGGCAAAGGGCTGCCAGATCTAGTAATTAAAAACACAGGAGGCCCAGCTAAATGAATAATTTTTTAGTATAAGTACATCCCATGCAACATTTTATCTAGAAATCCTAACTAGACACTGTTTTTATTTTGTAAAAATGAGATTCCCACTTTCAGGTCATATGTATGGATGATATTGTCCTGCAATATTTAGCTTTCAAGTCTAACTTCCTCCCTCAAAGGGCAGGGATGATGTCTTACTCCTTGACGTCACCTCTGTGCCTAGTAAAGGGCCTGACACACAATATGCATTCACTAAATTCATTTCAACCCTAAATATATGTTGAAATGAATGAATGACAGAGGAATATAAAATGTACAATTATAGAGTAGATTATCCATAAATAGATAATGTATTATTTCAACATCTCTCTGAAAGGTGATGTCCTCTAGGAAATCTTCCCATATCTGTATTAGGGTTCTTAGAGAAATAGACCAATTATTAGAGAAATAGACCAATAGGATAGAGAGATATATGTATACACACACATGGTTGGTGGCGGGGGGGATGGTAATATATTATAAGAAATTGGGTGACATGGCCTGGCTCAGTGGCTCATGCCTGTAATTCCAGCACTTTTGGAAGCTGAGGTAGGAGGAAGGCTTAAGCCCAGTAGTTTGAGACCAGCCTGAGAAACATAATGAGATGTTGTCTATAAAAAAATAAAAATTTAGCTGGGCATGGTGATGTGTGTCTGTGGTCCCAACTACTTGGGAGTCTGAGGTGGGAGGATTGCTTGAGCCTGGGAGGTTGAGGCTGCAGGGAGCACTGATGGGACCACTTCAAGCCTGAGCAGCAGAGTGAGACCCTGACTCAAAAAAAAGAAGAAAAAGAAATTGGCTGACATGATTTTGGAGACTGACAAGTTCCAAGATCTGCAGTAAACAAGGTGGAGACTCAATGTAGTTTCAGTCCAAGACTGAAGGCCCAAGATCCAGAAGAGCCAATGGTGTAGTTACAGCCAAAAGGTCAGCAGGCTTGAGACCCAGAAATAGCCAATACTTTATTTTGAGTCTGAAGACAGGAAAAAGAAAGAAAAACAATGTACCAGCTCAAAAGGAAGTCCAACAGGAGAAATCCCCTCTTGCTCTGTGGAGGGTCAGCCTTTTTGTTCTGTTAAGACTTCAACTGGTTGGGTGGAGCCCACTCACAATAGGGAGGGCAATCTGCTTTACTCAGTCAAATGTTATTCTCATTAGAAAACACCCTGCTGGACACACACAAAATAATGTTTTACCAAATATCTGGGCACCCTCTGGCCCAGTCAGGTTGACACATGAAATTAACCATCACACCATCCTCAAACAGAATGAGTCATTCCCTGTGGGCTCATGTACTTAAGGATAGATATGAGGCACTGGTCTAAGCACTTTAAGGTTGTTAGCAGCAATTTAGGTGTGGCTATTCTTATTCTTCTACTTTAAGGCTCTTCCAGTCTTCTCGACCCTTCTGCATGCTCCGAGTAGCATGCAGACTACAAGTCTAGGCCACACCTTATTGTAAGCACCTTCAGAACAGAAACTTAGTGTCTAGCATGAAATAAAGCCTCAACTAAGAATTACTTTTTTAAAAAATTGTGTTTGTCCTCTTTTCTAAGCATTGCTTTTATAGACAGGATGCATTTGGTTCAGCTATCCTCAGAATTTACAAATGTGTTCTCCTGAACATGAAGGACAGACAGAGTGCCCCAAAGACATGCCAGATCTCTGAGTGGCAGAGGAGAATCATGGTCTGGAAACCTCAGTCTGCCCAAGCCGCTGCCAGATCCTGCCACTGGAAGGAAAAATCATCGTCTGTATTTCATAGACGTGACTTCTGAAACAATGATACACCCCAACCCTCTTGAGTACCTGCAAATAAATCCTCATTCACAGGAGACGCTATTCGGACCTTTGCTTCCCTCTCTCTAAAAGCCTCCTCCATGACCCACAATAGGGCTTGGATTCTAATCAACAATCACACATTAATGACTGGAGGTGTAATCCATGAACCACCTAAGTTTGAAAACATAAGGGATTATTAAAATACAGATGTATACACTCAAACCCAAAAATGTTATATCAGAATGTCTGAGGGAGGAAATCCTCATTTTATAAGCTCCCAAGTGATTCCTATATCTTCTAAGATCTGAGATCCAGAGCTTTAGAATTTTTTAAATGACTTCATATATACTATCCCTTTTAATCCTCACATCAATGCTTATATTAGCCTTGCTATTATTAGCTTTAATTTACAGATTAAGAAAATAGAAACATTGTGTTAATTTCCTAATTATCACAAACTTAGTGGGTTAAAACAATACTATGTATTCTCTTACAAGTCTGGAGGTCAGACATCTAAAATCAGTCATTCAGGGCTAAAATCAAGGTGTTGATAGGGCTGGTTCCTTCTGGAGACCTCAGTGGAGAATCTACTCTTTGCTTCTTTCAACTTCTACAGACTGCCTTGGCTTGTGGCTACATCACTCCAATCTGCCTTCTCATTAACATGGCCTCCCTTTATAAGCATTCCTGGGAGTACAATGAGCATACATACATAATCCATGATGATTCCTCCATCTCAAGAGCCTGATGTTATCACATCTGTGAACTCCCTTTTGCCATATAAGGTAACATTTACAGGTTCTGGGGAGAAGAATGTGAGCATCTTTGGAAAGCATCTATTCAGCCTACTACAGGCACTAAGTGACTTGATGAGATCCATAGCTGGTGAATGGCAGAGCAATAATACGAACTGAGAACTTTTGTTTTCCAAATGAAATTAACACATTAAATCCTATTGTTCATTGACATTATTGAGCCATGGCTGATTTCTCAAATTGTCTTCTGTCAGACAATTCAATCAGGAACTTGAATTGATTGGATGCATGACAGGATAATTCAAAGCAGAGAGAAAGCCTATGCCCAGGTGGAATGCTACAGTGAGAACCCTGGGCTTTCACAAGGTACCTTTCAGAGCACATCTGGAAGGATGAAGAGAATGGAGAATTACTGAAATCTTTGGCTAATCTGAGGTAGGACTCAGATGCAATGCTGCCAATCTATAGAACTTTTGCACTTACTAGAGATGGGGCCTCTTCAGACTCCCAGTTGGAGCATTTAGGGATACCCAGGGCTAAACAAGAAGGCTTATATTCTTGCTACTCAAACTGTGGGCCCAGAGCAGCAGCACCAGCAGCAATTTGTTAGAATGTAGGACCGTAGGCCCTGCCCCAGACCAACTGAATCAGAACCCCCATTTTAACAAGATCCCCGGGTAATTTGCATGCACATTAAATCTTGCAATGTGTTGGCCTTATCACAGCCTACTACCTCCATGTACATGGGACTGTGGAGCTGTTTATACATCTCAGGACCAGGGCACCATTCATAAAGGGATCCTGTAACAGTCTCACTGAGGTGAAGCGTAGAGCAAAGCTCTGAGACAAGATGATCTCAAGGTTATTTGCTATACAGAATTGGGGTAGATACTTAGTATGAAAAGAAACAATTCCAAGCCACAGAGAACAAGAGTCAAGGCCATCCTTTGAACGTAACTTCCATTCAATTTAAGAAACCTGGAAAACATCCAAGTATGATCTTAGGGCTATAGTCATGAAATACTAAAGCCACTGCTGGCTCAGAATAAACTGAAAATAAATGTAAATGTCACCTGAATAGAATATAGGAATGTATGTCATCAAAAGGTTAGTATATTAATGAAAGTGAAGATATAAAATACAAGAAGTCATTATGGTACTTTATTCAATTATTTTTAGAAAAATTGGTTACTACAGCCAAGACAGAAAAAGTTGTATATGAATTGTGTTCTGATTTGGTTAAGCCTGACTTAGATACATTTATTATTCAATCAGGCAAGCATTTATTGAATCCTCCTGTGTGCCAGGTATGGTGGATATAAAAATAAACAAGACACAATATTTGTTCTCAAGAAATTCACAGAAGAAACATACATACACACACACACACACACACACACACACACACACACAGGCACACATTTATGCTTTTTTAATGGCACGATACAGGATAATGAGACAAAATCTGTGACAGAGACAAACAGAAAGAAGCAACCATGCTGATGAGTAGAATAAATTGAAAATTCAGAAAATACACAAAGCGGAGAGAAGAAAATAAAAAGGACATATAGTCCCATCACAGACTTTCCCAGTTAAAATTTTGCCATATGCCCTTTGAGACTTTTTCCCATGTACATATCTGTATCTTGTATTTGTTTCCATTTATCAGTTTATCTCTGATTCATCAATTGAACCAACTGGAATTGCTCATTTTGTAGGTTAAACATGATTAATAACAACTTCAGATGGTTCAACCTAACACTTCCGAAAATGTCTGGCGAAAACTTATATTAGTAAAACATATAAAACAGGTCATTTTAAAAAAAAATGAAAACAAACATACTTGACAACAGCAATCATATAAATGGTCCCAGGCATCTGAGATCCATTAGTTGCTGCATTTTACTATTTATACTCTAGCTATGAGTTTCCTGGCAGCTAGGAAAATACAGAAAAGCTATTCTGTTATTAAAATCCTCTTTATATTGAAAGGAAGCATATGTTGTTTACCTGCAAAAATAGATTTTTCCTCCCTATGGAATGAAAGGGATTTATTATTTTAAATGATGTTCCTTAAATGACTCTCCATTAGAGCAAAAACTGTAATACTAAATCTTTACTCAGAGATGACCTCATTTAATGCTGGGAGAGGATTTCAAGAAGCTGAAGGATCGGAAAACTAACAAGTCTCTCAGAGTCACTCTCAGATACTGCTTCAAGTAAGCTTTTAGCAGGTATTCATTCACAGTCAGATTATCTCCTAAATTCTCTTGAAGTGCTGATAATATCTGCCATTAATTTAAGAGCACTCCATGTGTTGTTGGTGCTAGAAATGTTGTCAGAGTTAACTTTCTGCTATGGCAATTAATTTAGGAACATGACCTTGCCCAAGCAAAAGATCCCTTCTGTATCAAGTTTGCTCAAAGAGTGAGGGCCAGAGATGTGCTAAGGTGACTTCTTTGGGGAAATGTCACACCATTAAGCTAATGAGAGCTGGAATGTTGACTATCAGGGACATGTAGTGTACCTCAGCATCTCTGTGACCTCATCTTAGTCCTAGTGATATAGTTGTCCTCTCACTTTTCCTGGTTCCTGCGAACACTCATCTTCCTAAGCATTTTTCTCTCTTTACTTCTTTCCTATTTCTGCCTCTTCCATCCTCCATAAGAGGCACATTTGAAATATCCTCTAGGAGGAGAGAATTTGATTGAGTAATCATTGAATGTGGAGCAGAGTCAGCTATAGAGTGGGAGGAGGCCACCACATGGGCTATGGGTGAAGAAGGAGGGTGGGAGAGTCAGGCAGACAGAAAGACTCAGGGTTGAAACCCCAGCAACTCCACTTACTAGTCTGTGAACTGGACCCATGACTAAGCCTCTGTGATGCTATGGTCTAGACGAGACACATGCATTTAAAACTGAATGATTATTGCCGATGTTTTGAATCCTGTCAGGGTATCTCTGGCTACATGTGTGTTATTACTAAGATGGATTTAATAATATTGAAACCAACCTCCTAGGACTGTTGTGAAGATTAAATAAAAACAATCATCAAGTGAAGATCTCAGCAGTATCTGACTCACAGTAAGTGCTCATTAAATATTTAGCCACTATTACTATGTTCAGCTATTGATAGTTACCTTTGGCCTCAATTTCTGGTTCAATCTATTTCAGCCAGGTAATAGGATCACATGACACAAATCCTAGAAACTTTGGGTGCAAAGAATAATCTTTTCTCCTAAAAAATAACGAACATGACATGTGCTTGGCGTTTTACCTGTTCAGGAAGATCCCATTTTATATGAAGACGGACTGTAGACAGGCTTGCAGAGAGCAACAATTCTGCAAAGGGAGGTATGAGTCTGCATAGGTACTAGAACAAGCATTCAACAAGAAAGAAGCATATAGCATCATAAGGCCTGGAAGATAGGTTTGGGCTTTAAATCATTAAATACCTTATTATCATAAACTGTCTTCTTTGACAGTAAAAGTAAAGAACCAGTAAAACAGCATCCTGAGGAACTGTCCAGGATTAATCTACCATTGCTTCCTAATCATTTCTTAGACAAAAATCTTGATACCACGCCTGCAAGAACTTAAGAATAGAAAACCTTTTATTTCTTTTTATTTCCCTAGATTCTTAGACAAACGATAGATTCTCAAAAAGCAGTTGTAACTTGTCTTGTTAAAGACAGATACATATCTGCTCATTGGTAAATAAAAATATCTATGTTTTGTTTTATTTTTTGCAATTTTCAAGATGTGACTGGAACAGAAATTCTCATGGAGCCCTTTGAAAAGCTACAGTAATCAAACAGAAATATAGACCAATGGAACAGAACAGAGGCCTTGGAGGCAATGCCATACATCTACAAACATCTGATCAATGATAAACCTGACAAAAAGAAGCAATGGGGAAAGGATTCCCTGTTTAATAAATGGTGTTGGGAAAACTGGCTAGCAGTGTGCAGAAAGCAGAAACAGGACCTCTTCCTGACACCTTACACTAAAATTAACTCCAGATGGATTAAAGACTTAAACATAAAACCTAACACAATAAAAACTCTAGAAGAAAACCTGGGCAAAACCATTCAGGACATAGGCATAGGCAAGGACTTCATGACTAAAACGCCAAAAGCATTGGCAACAAAAGCCAAAATAAACAAATGGGACCTAATTGAACTCCAGAGCTTCTGTACAGCAAAAGAAACAATCATTAGAGTGAACTGACAACCAACAGAATGGGAAAAAATTTTTGCTATCTACCCATCTGACAAAGGGCTAATATCCAGAATCTACAAAGAACTAAAACAGATTTACAAGAAAATAATAAACAAACCCATCAAAAAGTGGGAGAAGGATATAAACAGACACTTTTCAAAAGAAGACATATATGCGGCCAACAAATATATGAAAAAATGCTTATCATCCCTGATTATTAGAGAAATGCAAATCAAAATCACATTGAGATACCATCCCGTGCCAGTTAGAATGGCGATCATTAAAATCTCTGGAGACAAGAGATGCTGAAGAGGATGTGGAGAAATAGGAACACTTTTACACTGCTGGTGGGAGTGTAAACTAGTTCAACCATTGTGGAAGACAGTGTGGCGATTCCTCAAGGACATAGAAATAGAAATTCCATTTGACCCAGCAATCCCATTACTGGGTATATACCCAAAGGATTATAAATCATTCTATTACCAGGACACTCACACACGTATGTTCATAGCGGCACTGTTAACAATAGCAAAGACGTGGAACCAACCCAAATGCCCATTGACGATAGACTGGACAAGGAAAATGTGGCACATATACACCATGGAATACTATGCAGCCATAAGAAACGATGAGTTTGTGTCCTTTGCAGGGACATGGATGAATCTGGAAATCATCATTCTCAGCAAACTGACACAAGAACAGAAAATCAAACACCACATGTTCTCACTCATAGGCGGGTGTTGAACAATGAGAACACATGGACACAGGGAGGGGGGCATCACACACTGCGGTCTGTTGGTGGGGGCCAAGGGAGGGACAGCAGAGATTGGTGGGGAGGTTGGGGAGGGATAACATGGGAAGAAATGGCAGATGTGGGTGATCGGGGGATGGAGGCAGCAAACCTCATTGCCATATGTGTACCTATGCAACAACCCTGCATGATCTGCACATGTATCCCAGAACCTAAAGTACAATAAAAAAAAAAAAGAAAGAAAAAGGTGTGCTTTCATAGCTCCATGTGCCCCTCTCCACCACGCTTACCACAGTGGCTTAGCAGGCCTCTATGATTTCTTAGAGAACAAGAGAGGGACAGGTCACCTCCATTTTTTTGTGGCTTCTGCATTTAAACATTTTCTAAAAGTCAAAAGCAAATTAAAAAGCACAACAATGTAATATAATATTGCTATTTATAAGATAATTAAATGATTTACATAAATATTAATGAAAGAACTATAACAAAAATAATCAATTTATAGCATTTCTGTAGTTTTAACATTTTCTCAAAATTCTAAAAAGAAAAAGTAAAAATATAAGATAAACATACTAATTTATACTGTAGTACAGATGGTCTGGCAATGAGATGTGCATATTTAAGTTGTATGATCATTGACAACTTCTTTGAACCTTGTCAGGAAGTCTCTAAAACTATATGTAAGTGATAATTTGTAAATAATATATTGTGGTCAAGTCCAAATGGCCCTCATCCAGCCCGTCCCACCAGCCAAGTATAATAATTTTTATCAGCTGCTTTATGAATAATGACTACTTATAAATTATCTGAATTTGAAGATCTCTTAGATTTTTTTGTTGCCCAGCACCATTCTCCTACTCAACTTTCTTCTTCTTCCTCTGCTATTCTAATACCCTGCCAACAACTGCGTTTAGTCTTCAATAAAAATAAGAGTCGACACTTTTGATAATCAGAAAGGCAATCTAAACTTCCTAAACTTACTAATGTGAGTCTATAATTGGACCCCTCCTAGCATTCTGAAAATGGCACAATGCAGAGAGATTACAGTTTGTCTTTAATGCTCCTGTCATAAAGCTTCATCCATTTCATCTTCTGTACCAGAAACCTTGGAGGCCTTTTTCTTCTATTTTTCTTTACTCTCCCACACATCAATCAGACATCAAACCCTGCCTCTTCTTTCTTTAAACTATTTATTTTTATCTTTTGGGTAATAGATCTCTAAAGAGTAAAAATTGATAGGTGATAGACACTTTATATTATTGTTATTTTTTTGTTATCTCCAGGTTAAGTAACTTTCTAAGATCTCAAAGCTAGTAAGTAAAGGTGTGTGAACCTAGCTTTTCTTTTCAACTCCAAAATTAGTGATTATGGTAGTCAGGCCTCTTCAGAGAAGGAGAACCAATAGGAAAAAAGAGATATATCGAAAGAGATTTATTATGAGAGACTGGCTCACGTGATTACAGAGGCTGGGCAGTCCCACAATCTGCCGTCTACAAGCTGGAGGCCCTGGAAAGTCAGTGGTGTAGTTCAAGTTGAAATCTGAATATCTGAGAACAAGAGGAGCCAGTGGTGTAAATCCCAGTCCCAGTCCCAGTCTGAAGGCCCAAGAGCTGGTGGGCTAAAAGCAGCATAAGTCCTGGTTGAGTCCAAAGGCTGAACCAGGAGCACCAATGTCCAGCAGCAGGAGAAAGTGGTTGTCCCAGCTCAAGCAGAGAGTGAATTCACCATTCCTCTGCCTTTTTGATCTATGTGAATCCATTGGTGGGTTGGATAATGCCCACTCACATTGGTTAGGGTTGATCTTCTCTTATATTTAAAAAAATAGATTTAGCAGATACAAGTGCAGTTTCGTCACATGGATATATTGTGTAGTGGTGAAATCTACAACACCCAAATAATGTACATTGCAGAGGGTGGGTCTTCTTTACTCAGTCTACGGATTCAAATGCTGTATTACTCCAGAAATATTCTCACAGACATACCCAGAAATAATGTTTTACCAGCTATCTAGGCATTCATGAGTCTTGTCAAATTGACACATAAAATTAACCATCTCAATTATCTTAAAACAGTATGCTATGGTGCCCCTATAGAGAGGCTGATAAAACCTATAAAACTTACTGTTCATAGAAAATCACACAGATAAACTATACATAAAGTCTAAACTCGGGGTCTTAAAATCCTAGTTTTTCCTTGTATCCTTAAAGGGATTCATGGACCACATATTTTAAAATTTTACTTAAAATCTTTCCTGGTTTCACCTTCTTTCCCTATTCCCATTGCCAACACCCATGCCCATGTCTCTCATAACATCTTTCTTCAGCTCATATCTGTCCTGTTCAATCTATTCTGTGCCGGCTTGATCATCCTACACACTGCATTCATCATATCATGCTTCTGTTGAAAACATCCATAGCAATGGTGCAAATGAATCATTGCACATTTTAATCCTTTACTTAATTTATAATTTTTGGATGTTATTTTATCCACTATACTGTAAAATTCATGGTTGGCATGGATAATGTGTTTTGTTTACCATTACACGGCAGTTCTTACGTATACAATAAATGTTTGTTGGTTGACTGAATTTTGGAGCACTTTTCTGCATGAATAGTGGGAATATAAATTGTAGAAAAATTCACTGACATATTTATATGCATAGAAAAACTGCTGGAGAAACACAAATATGTTAACAGTAAATATGTCTGAGAAGTGGGGTTATGGAGAACTTTTATTTTCTGGGTCATTAAAAAAAAAGCTTTGATGTTTTCCCTTAACCTACTTAAACATACCATTTTTTTCTCCCTTCCTTTTTCCTCTCCTTCTTCCCTCTCTCCCTCCTTCATTTCCTTTCTTCCTTCAGTCCCTTCCTTTCTTCCTTCCTCTCTCCCTTTGGCTTGTCTTTTAAAAGGTCTTTAAGAGTCTGAACCCATTTTATTAGATCGCCTACTGGTCTCAAATTAGAAATTTCTTCTCCAGTTAATTTATCTATCCAAACATATAAACAATATTTATTGAGATCTCATGACTTTCCAGACACATTTGAGTGAGGAAACAGAGACACGAACAATTCGTTACTACACAGTGGTTAAGTGCATTAGACACACACAAAAGGCTGTGGGAGACCAAAGAAGGGAGTGACTGACTTTGCCCAGGTGCCAAAGGAGGTAAGGGAAGGATCTAGATGAAGAAATTATATTTGAACTGGAACTTAAAGGGGATTTGGCCAGGCCAAAAAGTGGAAGAAAAATATTCCAGGCAGAGTGAGCAGACCGTGAATAATTTTATAAGGGAGGCCTATTCTGGAAATGGCATGGAGCATAATACCCTGTGCCTGCATCACAGGAGTTGACAAGCAGGCATGACAGTCCAAACCCAAACATCTCAAGTCCTCCCTCTTCCTGGATGCTCTTGATACCCTGGGGCCATTCCTTTTTTGTACTACTGCTCAGTGATTTGGCATTGGAGTCAAGACTTCTTTTATGATTCTATTTCCCCATTTGGTTTGCATCCTTCTTAAGAGCAAAGACTGTGCCTTATGTTTTTTCCTTTACTGTCCACTTAAGTGACTAGTTAATGCACACTTTGGTGCATAGTAAAACGCTGAAAACTAATTACTGATAGACAGGTGATTTTAGCCTCTATGTTTTCAGATACAAGACTGTCTGAATAGCCAGACAAAAATATAGTTAGTCCTAAAGGTGACTTATCGAAGCATTCTGATATGCCACTGGGATAAGGACTGGTGTGCAACCACCCTAAACTATCTTTTCAATCCTTTCTCAAAATAAAAAGGGCAGACCCACCACTGGTGCAGAACCAGAGTTTCTATAAATAAGTCTTGCTGAGGCCCCATCAGACCTTTCGATGCTGACTGAAGAGCTTGCAGTGTTTACTAAACTCCTGAGATCACTAAAGTCTGAAATAATCTCTCATGCCTCATTAATCTCCAATGTTTGAAGTAATCACTAATGTGTAATAAATCTCCAGTCTCTGAAGGTTTAAGTCACACAGATGTGTTGTTTCAGATGAATAATGACAGCCATGCGTTTGCTGTTCAGTCATCCAACCCATACTGAGGGAATGCCTACCTGTTCGAAGCACTGAACAAGGTTCTTTCCATTAGACCCACACTTCCATGTCCCAGCAACTCTGCACTGTAATGTAAAGTGGACAACATATAGAACGGAAGTGTTATGAATGCAAGTTAAAGGATTATTTGAAGGTTCAAATAGATCAGGGAAACTTTTTCCATTGGTTTAATGTAAAGACTTAGAGATTCACTCATTCATTTATTTATTCAATAAATGTTTTAGAGAACCCCATAATGTGTCATATACTGTACTAGAAGCCAGACATATAATAATAAACAAAAGAGACATGCTTTCTGCCTGCATGGAGCACATTTCGCACATTGAAGGCAGGGTCATTTAGAGCTTTACATTTTACCATTATTTATTGAATACTCATTTTATGCCAGGCTTTAATATAGTCAAGATAAGTTGAGTGAAATAGATATGTTCATTACTTTAAGATGTACATTTTATTTAAACAATACTAAGTGTTTAGGACACAGGATTTGAAGTTAAAAGACTTGAGTTCTTCTCTGCCTTATATTAGGTATGTAACCTGAGAAAATCACTTACTTTTTGTGTCTCTGTTTCTTCCAAGCACATCTATTTCATTAGCTCCATAAGAAATAATAATCAATAAAGCTACTATTGATGCACTACAAAAAAAACTTGGGAGTGACTTGACTCCAATGCCTGCTTCCTGGGGTTTTGTGGGGAGTACATCAGACAACTCCCCATGCCTTTGTGCATCCTTTTTCTGCCCTCTGAATTGCCTTTGCCATCTCCCTGTCCCTTCTGCCTGATAAACTCCTACTTATCTTTGACGCACCAGCTTAAATGAAGATCACATCATCCAAGAAGTCTTCTTTCTATCCCTGATGGTGAGGAGCACTCTCTCCTCTAGGCCATCATTGTGCCCTTACAGGCTTTTATATTGTGATTACCACATGATATAATCATGGGGAAGGGTACAGCCTATGTATTACATATTTGGTTCCTAGCACGGTGCCTATCCCATAATCATGCTTAAAAATTTTTGCTGAATAAATAAATGAAAATATGTTGAGAAAACGCTTCATAAACTCCAAAGTATTAAACAAAAGCAACGTATCACTAACATCATTATGCATCTTAACTGGGGCTACTATAACCAAATAACATAAACCAGGTGGCTTATCAATAACAGAACTGTATTTCCCATAGTTCTTGAAGCTGGAAGTCCAGGATCCTGGTACCAGCATGGTCGAGTTTTGGTGAAGGTTCTCCTCCTGGTTGCAGACTGCCAACTTCCATTGTATCCTCATGTGGCTGAAAAGCAGTGAGCTTGCTTTCTGGTCTCTTTTGTCTTATAGATACAACTATTTCATATATTTATGCATACATGTGAGTGTTTTTTATATGTATAGAATGTATAGTTACCAAGTCAGGGTGTTTGGGGCGTCCATCTCTTTGAGCATTTATCATTTCTATGTGTTGGTATCATTTCAAGTCCTCTCTTTTAGATACTTTAAAATAACAAAATATTGTAGCTAAGTATAGTCACCGTAGTCTGCTATTAAACATTAGAACTTTTTGGGCAGACGAGGTGGCTCACACCTGTAATCCCAGCACTTCGGGAGGCTGAGGTAGGTGGATCACTTGAGCCCAGGAGTTTGAGACCAGCGTGACCAACATTGTGAAACCCTGTCTCTACAAAAAATACAAAAATTAGTCAGGCATGGTGGCACATGCCTGTAGTCCCAGCTACTTGGGAGGCTGAGGCAGGAAGATTTTTTTGGGCCTGGGAGGAAGAGACTATAGTGAGCTGAGATCACGCTACTGCACTCCAGCCTGGGTGACAGATCAAAGCCACGTCTCAAAACACACAGACACATGCGCGTAGGTGCACACGCACACACACTAGAACTTTTAAATTCTATCTCACCTTTCATTTTGTGGGAATTAATTCCATTCATAAGGGTTCTACCCTTATGGCCTAATTATTAACCAATGGCCCCAACTTCAAACACCATCACATTGGAATTAAAGTTTCAGCATATGAGCTGGGTAGGGGGACACAAACTTCAGTCCATTGCTCTTCCCATTCAAGCAGGATTCACTTCATCTTTACAAAATGTAAAATTTATTTTGGCCAAATTCTGATAGGTAACTGTGCTGGACACTATGTTGCTCACTGGTGTATCAGTTCTCCTCATCTTCTGACATGCAGGAGATTGGCACTTCCCTGCCCCCTTGAAGACATGAGTAAACATGTAGGACTTGCCTTAGCCAATGAGATATGTGGCCTATGTAACTTCCATATGAAAGCATTTCATTGTCAGTGCTTGACTCTCCCATCTCTGTCTTGGCACCTTGGCGATTGTGGGCGTGCATGCTGATACAGAGTGGCCATGAAACTGAAGCAGCCCAGAATGGCAGCCTTGTATCACACAGACAGCAACCGTCTTCAGAGGCACCTAGACCCACAGGGACTTGGCATGACTAAGAAATAAATGTACATTCTATCAGTTCTCTGAGATTTTGCCATTTTTTATTGCCACAGCATCATCTAATTTATCCTGACTGATAAGGTTACCAACCCACTTCCAGAAAATTATATGGCACTTTTCTGGGAATATGACATAGTAATGATCAAAGACAAACATATGAAAAAAAAAACTTGATCTAGAAGTGTACATGTGAGAGTTAACCCACAATATAAAGAATATAGTTCACTTTACAGGGGCGTTAAGCCTCTCTTGAGTTTTCTTCCCCAAATCCAAATAAATCTCTCTTGTAGCCAATGCTGAAGTAAGGGTCAAATCCCCTACTTACATGGAAAGGAGATATTTTTTGAAACAAAAATATTTTTTGAAACAAGACATTTGGCATAACTTATTTAAAGAAATGTGCTTAGGGTCTCCCACCAACATGATCACTGCTAAAATGCTTTGTTCCTCGCATCACCTTCCCCAGCTGAAAGCAGGAACAAGAGGAGCCTCATGATAGTCCACTCCATCGAGGGCCAGAGGGAAGCATTCTTTTCTAAGTTTAGCTATGTTTTCACTTTTTTGTTTTATTTTGAAATATATACACACACACACAAACACACACATATATGCATAAAACATATATTTATAATTTAACAAAATAACTGTAAAGTGAAACTGATACAGTCATACTCAGGTCAAGAAATAGAACATGCCTAAGACTCTACAACCCTGCTTATCCCCATGTATTTCTCTCCCTGGGGGTAACCATTGGTCAGGCTCGGGGGATAATCATTTTTTTAGCTTTCCTCATAATTTCACCATTGTGCCTATTTTAAAATGTGTTATATCATATTTAATATGGCATACTTTATGTACACTAAGAACGTACGCATTTAAAGTTAATTTGCTGAGTTTTGCAAAAGTACATGCCTTTGCAAATGTACATGCCCAATCAAGATACAGAGTTTCCATCACTCCAAAAATTTTCTTATGTCTCATTGCAGTAAATCCCCCAAGTTCCAGCCCCAGGTACCACTTATCTGCTTTCTATCACTATAGGTTAGTGTGGCCTGCTATAGACTTTGATATGAGTGGAATCATATTCATACATACACTTCGTCTGACTCCTTCTCTTAGCATAATTTATGTGTGATCTTGAAATGTATGTAAACAGAATTGTAATGTATAACTCTTTTGTGCCTTGCTTTTTTTGTTCAACGTACGTTTGTAAAAGTCATCCATATACTTGCATGTACCTATAATTCATTCACTTTTATTACTATATAAAAACCATTACATAACTATAATTTATTTATCCATTTGTTATTAATAGACACTTGAGTTGCTCTATAGTTCCACAATTGTCATATATTGATTCTGTACATTGATTTTATATACAGCTAGCTTACTAATTTTTATTCTTAACAACTCATCCATAGATTCTGTTGGATTTTCAGTGCATATATTCATATTATCTATGAATAGCAACAGTTTTCAATTGTTACAATCCTATGTCTTTTATTTCTTTTTCTTGTTTGTGTAACTGTTCTCACAAGGCCCTCCAGTATAAAGTTAGATAGAAGTATTGATAGTGGTATCCTTGTATTGTACCTGACCTCAAAAAAAAGTTGTCTAATAGCTCATTATTAGGTGTGGTGTTTACTGAAGGTTTTTAATGGTTATTCTTTAGTCTTTACAAGAATTCTCTTTTCATGTAGGAAATTTTAGGAGAAAACTTATGAATAAGTTTGCTAACATGATTGGAAAATGAATTTTATCTTTTGCTTTTTCTGCATATATTGAGATGATCAGATGAATTTCTCCTTTAAGATGTTGAGGCCAACTATCTTAATTGATATTCTATTTTTAAGTCAATCTCCCATTCCTGGTATAACCTGACTTGGTAATAATATCTTATCTAATATTTACTTTGTTTATATCCAACTTCATAAGTAAAAGTGACAGGTAATTTTCTTTTCTCATATTCTCCTTGTCAGGTTTTAATCTCAATATTTTGTTAGTCTCATAAAAGTTAGAGGAGTTTACTTTCTTTTAATATTTCAAGCTTGTAAAAGGTTGAGATTATTTTTTCCTTAAACGTTTGATAGAACTCACCAGTGAAGTTATCTGGGCCAGTAATTTCCTTTGTGGAAAATTTTTAATCACATATCTGAATTTAGGTTTTTAACAACTTATTTTTTTTATCAATTTGGTAAAATATTTACTAGGAATTATTCTACCTTTTTTAAAAATTTCAATTTATTGATATGAAGCTCTTCATAAAAAAACCCCTATATTAACATTTTAAATCTTCAGTATTCTGCAGTGTTCTATATGCTTTGATTAGGTCATATGATAGTTCATTTTATTTGTCAGCTTGACTGGGCAAAGAGATACCCAGGTATTTGGTGAAACATTACTTTGTAGTATATCTGTGACAGTATTTCTGGAAGAGACTAGTATTGAAATCAGTAGGTTGAGTGAAGAAGATCTCCCTTCACTACTGTAAGTAGGCATTATCCAGTCCTTGTGTGGGAAGCAAGGCCTGTACAGAGTCCATTCTGAGGATAAATGGTGGCAGCAATAATGCCTATATCCAGGTTCCAAGGACCACAAGTCAGTTAGTGGTGCCATCAGCAAGCAGCGTTAGTGACATTAGCCGTGTAACCTGTGGCGTCTACTGCTTAGTGGCACCCACAGTGGCAGTGGTGTCTTCATCATATCAAAGATTTGGGGCAGTGTTCTTGGTAGTTTGGCTACCCTCCAGACCACAAAACTCTCATCATCAATTTTTTTCTACTTGTCAGCCAGAATTAGTTTTTGTTGCTTGTGGCTAAGATGTGAAACTGTTTGATTGTTTGATTTAATACCCTTACTTGACAATCTGAAAAGTATCAACCTTAAGCAGTCCCTCAATTTTTAGAAAAAAATATATTGGTTTATGAGATTAAAAATGTTTTAGGAACTGCTGTTATATACTATAATGCTACGTTGTGCATTCAAAGCTCTATGAAATAAATAGATTTAAACTGACCTAAATAGAATTGATTTTCTCTTGAACTGGCATAGTGACTAAACATAATTCTGAATAACCATATAGTCTGAATTATTTAGTTGTTAATATGACCAAAGTAACCAAACTGACTCTCGCAACTAGTCTGTCTTCTTAGCAAAGTAAATGGATCGACTATATGTCTATATAATTGCTTTCTCAGCAGTTGTAAAATGCTTGATCCAGTTAATATAGATCAGCTCCTCTTTTTAAGAGATTAAAACAGCATGTATTTAACTAACTAATTAATGTATTGATTCATTATATTTACTTCTGGAGTAGAGCTATAGGTTTTCACCAAGGAGGACGCCCAACATACACAAAAGACACAAAGTTCATGATCTATTTGGGAGACAACAACAATTATAAACCATTCTTTCCAACTCCCCTGCAACCACCCTCGTGGCCAGCCACTGTCCAGACTTCTTGTCTGGACATTTGTGGTTACTCCCTAGCTAGTTTCTTTTCTTTTGGTCCTGCTCTTCTGCAATCCATTTTCCACTGAGGAACTAGGGTGTTCTTTTAAATCAATAATTGGGTTATATTACTGCTCTGCTATAAACCCTTCAAAATTTTTTCAATATTCATGGATTTAAAACTAAAGTTCTTAACACAGCCTAGAAGGCTCCATGAGATCTGCTTATATTTCTAAGCTCATTTACTCTTGCTACTGACCCTGTACCACCATGCCCAAACATACTATCCTTCTTTTAATTCCCACAATGCTTTGATCTCTCCCCTGACTCAAGGTCATTAAACATACAATTCATTCTGCTTGGAATGTTTTTTCTCTTACTGCTCACCTGTCTAACCCTGCTTATACTCCTGTTTTAAATATTACCTGCTAGGGGCCAACTCCTCTGACTACCCAACTTAAGAGAGACCCCTGATTTACTCTCTCAAAGCACTTGGTAATTTTCTTTCATAACTCTTATTGCAATCTGGATTATATATTTACATATTTGCTTACTTGTTCAATGTCTGTCCCCACCATACATGATTGTAAACTTTAACAGGACAGAGACTATGCCTATTTTATTCACCACCTAACACCAAGCAAAGCACATTGAATGGGTCTTTAAATATTTGTTACATGAATGAATGAAGTAATGCGCAAACAAAGAAAGGTTTATACAATTCAGTG